GGTACAAGCTTCGGATGTGAAAAGTTTTGCACCTGGGATAGCCAACATAAAAGAAATGCATTTCCCCGCAAACTTTTGGATTTCCAATAGAGAGACGGTCTTCTTATCAAGAATACTCTCACGCAACTTAATGAAAGCATTCCTCTTAGACTCGGGCAATAAAAAAGCCTGTTTCTTGGTGTCTATTATCATACCAAGATAAATTATTGAAGTGGACGGTAAAAAACTAGACTTTCCCAAACCAATGAAATACCCAAGTCTAAGAACAATTTGACATGTAGCATAAATAGCCACATCCGCACTTTCTATTGAGCTGCCATTAAATCCCATAACCTCCCCAACCAAACGGTCATCAATATATATAAGATTATTTACATTAAGCGTCCGTAAGTAGGATGCAACAGCCAAATTTAAATTATGATATATAAACGCTGAATTTTTCCACCCAAATGGAATAGTGTTACACAGAAAATACCTCGAATCCCATTCAAAACCAAAATATTGTCTAGATTTCTCAGTAACTAGAACATGGTCATAGCCCGACTTATCGTCTAATTTTGTCATTAACGAAGCTTTATTAACTATACGAGGTACTTCATTTAAAGAATCTAACGTAAAAGGCGAATCAACCATCCAGCTATTTAAAAAACGCAAACCTAGACATAATCTTGGTTTCGACGGCTCTACCGTTAGCGGCGATACTAAATGTGGCATAGTTTTTGTTTCAGATATGGCACCCGAGATGAGCCTTTTTTCAATTTCTGAATTTATAAAACCCTTAAACTCTTCACATGACTTTGAATTGCTAAACTTAAGAGATGGGGGTGTATCTGAATCAAAATAACTACGTTTAAAATAACCATTGAATGGACACATATAATGGTAAATATTGACCTTATCAGCAATAACCTTCAAAACGTCAAATTTTGAATGATCACCATATTCACCAGCCACCCTCACCCACTCACTAAAATGCTTATGAATTTCTCCCGCCCTAAAGTGATT